GCACCATTATCCCTGCTTTACAGATGAGGAAAATGATGCTCGGAGAGGTGATGCCAGTACCCAAAGTCACACGGCTACTAATGGCAGAGTTGGGATCCAACCTCGACCCAGTTGACTCTTGATTACTTCACAATTCTGGCTTCTGAGTGACTAAAGTGTCCATGATCTCAATTTCCGTATGAGTCAGATAAGGTGACCTGCTCTGCTTTTCTCCCAGGGTTGTCACAAATGTGGAATTGTGTAAGCAGCAGGCAGGCTGTGTTTTACCAATGAAGGTGAGCAGGGGGTGTTGTGATGGCAGTATCCTGGTCTGAGGGGCCAGGCTCCCCCCATAAGCAGAAACTCAAGTCCGAAAGCCTACAGCTTTCACATGAAATCATACATTTTCTGTATATATATATATATTTTTGTCTTTTTGAGACAGGGTCTCGCTATGCAGTTCAGGCTGGCCTTGAACTCACTTTGTGGCCCACCCAGGCTGTCCTCGAACTCCCAACCATCCTCCTGCCTCAGCCTCCCGAGTGCTGGGATTATAGGTGTGCGCCACCACGCCCAGCTACATTTTTTGTAAAATCACCTGTGCCATGCTCTCCTCACCTGAGTCAGTCATAGTAGAGGCAGTATGCAGGGACAAAGGCAGGTCCTTCTTGCCTCCCTGGAAGTCTGTCCACGCTAGGGTGTGACCTTGCTCTGGACCTGCCTGACTCAACAGTAACTAAGTTTACTACTCATTCATTTAACACCCATGAGCTGTGGACTCAGGCAACCTGGTTTCAAAACCTGGCTCTGCAATTCATTAGCTGTGTGACCTTGGGCAAGACAGTCAACCTCTCTGAGTCTGCTTCCTCATCTGTAAAGTGGAAAAGATCAATCTCAATCTCATAAAGTTGTTGTGAAGATTTTTTTTGTGTGTGTGAAGATTAAATGAGGTAAGAGGGGCATGGTGACACATGCCTGTAATCCCAGCACTCGGGAGGCTGAGGCAGGAGGATTTTTGCCAGTTCAAGACCAGGCTGGGCTAAAAGTGAGCTCAAGGCCAGCCTAAACTGCACAGAGAGACCCTGTCTCAAATAGACAAAAAAAAAAAAAATAAAAAGATGGGATGGTATAGTACACGTTTCCACACCAGGAAAATCTTTCTATGACACTTCTAGCATGGTGGCTAAGAGCTCAGGCTCTGGCAGCAGACTGCCTGGGTTTGAACCCTAACTGTCAAGCTACTTAACTCTTCTGTGCCACAATTTTCTTATCTATAGCATGGCGTCAGTAATAATCTCTACCTCCTAGGGTTATTGTGAGGATTACAACCTCAGGATTTGTACTGTGCTTGGAGCAGCGACTACAGTAGTAAGTGCTGCGTATGGTCATTCTGCGTTACACTGACTTCCGTGGCAATGAAGATGTGTGATAATTTGTTTGACCAGTCCTCTTTGTGGGATGTCCAGGCTGCTTCTAAACTGTCCCTGTTCTAAACACTACAGCAAACATCCTCTACGGACAGAGTTCTCTGGTGTCTGGACTTGGCTGTAACTCCTGTAGGGACAAAGCTCCGGGCAGGTGGGCCAGCCCTGGCTGGTGGGCTGTAGGTAACGGAAGCTGGTAAAGGATGTGGGGAGGCTGTTTCCTTATTTGTGGAACATGATCTCTCTTCAAGGCCCCTGGAGCTCAGCTGAGGCTGAACGCAAATCCCACCTCAGACCTCCTCTGCTTTCTGATGACGTATGGGGAGCTGGAGGCACACTGGTAGGAGGCCTGCCACGGATCAGCCTGCTTCTAAACCCTTAGAATCTAAAGGGTCTTCTCAGGGATCAAAGGGAAAGACTGGCGTCTGGCTAGAGCTAGAAAGGCTTCGGTGTGGGTGGGCCAGGGAAAAAGAGCTGGTCTGGAGGAGTGAGAGGATATGAAGAAGGCGGACCTACTGCGGCCATGTCCATCTTCTCACCCCCTGCCAACCACCAGATCACCAACTCTAAACATAACAGCCATGTGCAGGTCCTTGGCATGTGTCTGTAGCCCCAAGGATTGCTCTTGCTCAGCTTGTGTTTGAACTAAATCACTCTGCAAGAACCTCATTTCTGGAACCTTATTTTTTTCTTTAGAAGTTAACATAGCCGGGTGTGGTGGTGCACACTGGTAATCCTAGCACTCGGGAGGCAGAGGCAGGAGGATCATTGCAAGTTCTAGAACAGCCTGGGCTACAAAGTGAGCTCAAGGCCAGCCTCAACTGCATAGCGAGACCGTGTCTCAAAAAGATTTAAAAAAAAAGAGAAAGTGACATGATCTGCTTTTTTTTTTTTTTTTAACATGATCTGCTTCTAACCATAGGGCAAGAAATAACTCCAAAGGGGATCCTGATAAGTAGATAGTGACTCGACTAAGGATGCCAGTGATTTGCCATCTGATTTGGGATTGGAACCCAGACCTCCAGATCTTTGGATTGCTTCCTCACAGATCATCTGTCTGAGATTCTCTCTGATCTTTCTCTGTTTCCAGGTAGCTCCACAGCTCAACAGTAACACTCAGCCACACCTTCCCATCCCTCTGCACACTTCCACCACAGCACAGGATGCCCTCATCAGGAACCTATTTGACGGCAGGGTAGATCATGAGTTCCAGAGAACCGGCACATGTCCCCAACATTTGTGTTAGCTTTCTTCTGGATTACCCACCTGTCTATTCCACAGCGTGTCATGGTGCTGTCCTAACACGGATACAGCATAAAGCAGAAGGATCACCATTGTGGCCTCTCACTCCATGGAATTGACTAAGTCCCTGGCCCAGGTAGTCTGGAAATTTGCATTCATAGGGAGGATGGATAGTCAGCTATGGGGTCCCCATGGAGTTTGGGCCAGGATTTAACCACCTACCTGTCTGTGCTAACGCATTGAAGCCTTTAACCATATTGATTAGGTCTTGCCTATTTCTTCCTGTGTGAACCAATCTGTCTTGGCAACTGAAGACTGTTTTCGCTCTTCCAAGAAGAGCGTTCTGTTCATGTCCTTTCTCAGTGACAGGCCCTGGTAGTGCTGTGTGCTCTCAGAGTTTCCTATGCTCGGCCACCCAGGGCCACTTTCATCAACCTGTTGGAGGAGAAGTGAGGAATGAAAAACAAGTATACTATTAAAAGCAGTTACTTGCTTTATCTACCACATGTCTGGTGCTGAATGCTCATTACCCTCCCAGTCTTAAAACAAACTTGAGTGTAATCAGAGGTTCGGAGAGATTCAGTGACTTGCCCAAGCTAGTAGGTGCCCAAGCTGGAATTTCAACCTTGGACTGAAAAAGCAGTTACCCTTGCTATTTTTCTAAACTACATTTCCGCAGGGTATGGATCTGATCACCAACAAGCTTTTTGTCTGCGTGGATGGATAAGTCCCATCTAAGAAACCACATGCCAGAAGGAGCTGGGCAGAGATGCTGTGGGCGAGAGGAAGGCAGGAAGAATAGAAAAGGTTGCAGTGGCCTTAAAGAAAAAAGACTTGCTTGTCTGGGAGGCCTGGGTGGGGAAGGTACCTAGAAGGGGTTTCCTCTTCTCTAGGCACTCAGGGAATCTTTGAAGGTTTGTGAACAGGAAGAAGCAACAGACAATAGTACTGACAACAATGCATGGGTATAAATTATGTTTCTCTTTGCCATGAGGGTTGATTAAAGCGGTGATCACGGCACTGGGAAAAGTTAACTGCGTCCCAAGGACAAAACAAGATGGCATCGACTTGCTGGAGGTTTTCAAAATGTGCTGAAGACTAACTGCTTCATTGTTGTTAAAGGGCTAACTTAGTAAAATCACTTGAAATGATATTCTGCAGAAACGAGAAATATTTATGAAGGGTGCATACTAACATGTAAAATGTTTATGCTAAATAAAGAACACGATACAAAATTAAATTTCTAGTATGATTACTACTCTACTTTGAAAGTAATAATGTCAGCCCTGGAAGAAAATCGGGGGCGGGAGAAGAAAACACAATATAATGCTAACAATGGCTGTGTTAAATGAAGAGATCTATAGATGCCCAACCTCCATCTGAAGTTATTTTCCTACATTTTTTTTTTTCTCACTTTTGCTTGTTTTTGGAGACAGGGTCTCGCTGGGTAGCGTAGGCTGGGCTTGAATTTACTTCGTAGCCCAGGCTGGCCTCCAACTCATTGCAATTCTCCTGCTTCAGCCTCCTGGGTGCTGGGATTACAGGCGTGCGCCCACCACGCCCGGCTTTTCTGAGTTATTTTCTAATGACATCAACGCTCTTTTTTTTCTTCTCCTTAAAAAATTATTTGCGGTCTTTTCTAGTTGTTGTTTTCCCAGGAAATTGTTGTTATACCTACAAGACCGGGGACTTAAGAGGAGTGAGTGAGCAAACAGACGCGAAGCACCCAGCACGTTGCCTGGCGCAACGTCGGTGCGCAAGGAGGATTAGGTGAGAAAGGTCGCTGGTTCGGCGTCCCCGCCTCGCAGAATCCAGCCCAAGCCCTGACCAGCCCAGCAGTTCCCCTACCCGTGGACAAGCATACCCAAAACCCCTCATACATCCCCGGCGCGCCGCCCTACACAACCCCGACAGCCTCGCGCGACGTCGCGCGCACCCACGGCCCCGCCCCGTGACGCGGCCCCGGAGGCGGAACTGCAGAGGCCCCGCCCCCGCCTCCTCCGATTGGCCGTAGCGCTGTCACCACGTCGCGGGAAGCTGGCCGGCTGTGTGTATGTGTGTGGGGTTTGCTTTGTCATTCGTTCCCCCATCGCGGGCTGACGCGGCCGGCTTGGTCGAGCGCTCCAGCGCCCCCAGAAAGAAGACCGGCGCGGCTCCCGGGACGCTCCCTTACATAATGACGCGACTGACTGAAGCACATGTCCGCGCAGAAACCCCGTGTGTCGCAAACCTGGGCCTCCCGATTCATACATTGTAGACGAGAGCCCACAGTGCCACACAGCACGGATTATCGCACAACGAAAAACAGTCCAATAGGCATGAGGTGTACCTTCGCAACAAGGCATAATATAGGATGTTATATTTATAGGGCCTATTTATAAGCCTCTATTTAAATCTTTTCTGATAGGCCCAGCCGCAGGTCCAGACACAATTGTGATTGGTGTACGTTTCTGTCCTTCAAAGAGGCGGGTTCAAGAGTCCGTTTTGCTTCAGCGGGTACTGGGATTGGCTGTCAGCGGCAGAGAGGCGTCCTTGATTGGTCGTGCGGGCCGTCTGTCTGCAACGAGGAGGCGGGGCAGGCGGCTGGCTGGTGCTGAGCGGGCGGGCCCCGGAATTGTCATTTCTTTGTTTCCGAAGGCGGAGGAGGCTCAGACCCCCCCACCGTGGCACCCCCCCTCCCCCCCGGGTGCTGGCTCCATGTCTGCGTGACCGGCCCCAGGGGTAGAGTGCAGGCCCGACGCGGGGCGGGCCGGTGGCTGCGGCGGCTGAGGTGAGAGGCGGCGGCGGCGCGGG